TGAATAAATGAATGAATAAAGCAAGCCACTTTTCTATTCGCAGTCTCAGAATCTCCTTTCTTCCAAGAATGGGCACAATTATCCCTATCTCATGGGTCCTAGATGAGGCTAAAATAAGACAGTATCTGTGACAGCTCAGCACAGCGTTTTTTTTTTTGAGAAACGATAAAGTGTAATGAGAAATCAAGATGGCACGAGACTTTCAAAATCCTTTAACTCTGCAATAGCGACAACACTCATAGAATGCTAACAGAGTTGACCAGATCGCTTTTTCACCTATCCTCCCAGCTGAGCCGCAACAGCTCCGGAAGCCGGCAATGGTCATTTGGGGCAAATGAAGTGCCGAGAAGCAAAGGCACCCGTTCCTACAAGGGCTGTTAACGGCGGGGTCCAAGGTGGAACCCCGGCTTCCCGATGCAGGCCACGAATTCCTACCGGCGACGGGTCAGCACTGGGATTGTTATTTCCGGGCCGGCGGCGGGGACAATCCGGGGCGGGGCCTGAGGGGCAGCCTCTCCGGCAGCCTCCCCGGGGAGGCCCGCCGGGGCCCGGGCTGCGGTGCAGGGGCCCGGACTCACCTCTTGGCCTCGGCGTCTTCCCCTCGGCTCATGCCCCCTAAGAGCAGGTCCCAAGCCCGCGAGCCGCCACGCTCCGGACGCCTCCGTCTCAACGATACCTGCCGCCAGGCCGCGGGTGACGCACTACGCCTGCGCCGCCCGCCGCGCCGCCGCCCCGCCCCGCCCCGCCCCGTGACGTCACGACGCCGGCGCCACCGCTGTCGCGAGGTCGCGAGAGTGTTTTCCCAATAGCCTGGGGGATCGCTGGTGAGTGGTCTCGGCACGGCCTGCAGGCGCGCGCGGGGGCCCCGTACCAGAGATCTCTACTCCAGGACTTCTTGGGGGCCTTGGGGGGCCTGATCGTGGTACCCCGATGAGTCCCATCGAGTCCGGCTGTTTGACCTTACTGCGGGGGGCGGGACTGGTAGCATCAGAGCGGGTGTCACAGGTTAAGGGCGGAACACGTGTCATCAGCGAGGAACTTCGAGCATCGGATGTGTGTGTGGGGTCGTTTACCAAATTGTAGCCGCTATTTAGTAGCCCATCACCTAACAGGAATAGTAGTTTCCAGGACAATACCACGGGTATGGATATCATTATTCCCACGGTGAAGAACCGGAAGCTCAGAGGGGGAAAAAAAAAAAAAAAAGGAAAACTACCAGGGTCACGTGGCTCGTCATGAATGGAGCTTAAATTCCAAAGCCTCAACTTTTCACCCTTACTCGGTGCTGTCCCGTGGCGAGACAATTGTCATCTCAGTAGCCCTTCTCTATTTACAAAGCGCGTCTGCGGCCCTTATCTCATTTGCTCCACAAACGGTATCATCTACACGTTCCCGATGAGACTAAGGTCATCAGAGGGTTTGACCCATCCAAAGTCACATCTTAGTTAAGTGCTGGAACCGAGACTCACTTCCAGGTCTTCTCTTAAGTTTGGTGCCTTTTTCCTTTCACCACATTCTATTGCATTTCTCAGAATCGTAGGGAGTTTTATAATTGGAAAGGTAGTTGAGGCAAACAAAACCTAAGGATAAGAAGTGACTTGATACAAGCCACAAGTCAGTAGTAGAGCTGCCACAAGTGCTTTTTGGATACACGGTGGTTATGAATCTAAAGAGGGTGGTTGGCAGAGAATGCTGAGAGAGGAATGTTGTAACCCAGACTTCCTACCTCTTAGTTAAAAGCTCCTTCTCCACCTATGGAAGTGTCTTATCCCTCCTTTGGCTGTGCCAGGGACTTGATTCTGTATATAGATAGTCAGGTCCTATACATAACTTTACATGGCCCTGAATTTAGAGAAAGACATGCCTTGCAATCTAAAGTGAAAAATTGGCAAACCAGAAGGTAATTCAAGCGGTGTTGTGAAGTAGCGCTCAGGAGCTGCTGTCTGAGGCTTAGATTCTCATTCTGGTGCCAGCATTGTTACCTTGGGCAAGGACTTAATTTTTCTAGACTTCATTCATGTATCCATTTCATTATTCAGTGTCTTCTGTGTCCAGGGACTGTGGTAGGCACTGGGGATACAGCAGTGAGCAAGACAACCATAGGCCAGTCCTTGTAGTGCTTTTAGGCTCATGGAGGGAATTAGACAATGATCAAATAACTACACGAATATCAACTGATATTGTTCAAGTAGGTTCTATAGAAAGGCTCAAATGAGTTAATGTATGCAGCACAGCACTTAAAATCGTTTCTGGCACATAGTTATCACTATATAAGTAGTAGCTATTGTTTCATTATTAGTGTTACAATTATCTTTTTAAAGGCTCATTAATATCACTATGACAAAGATGCAGAAAGATGCAGTGTACCGTATACTGTAGCTCAAAAAGGATAAATGGTCTACCAAAGGTTACACAGCTAGTTGGTAAGTGTTGGTGGAGGGGAGGGGCAAGGAGAGCTGAGATTCTAGTTCAACACAGTGTCCTAAGCCCATATGCTTCCTGCCACGGTTTTTCTGAGTATAGGTTAATTCTGTCGGATAATACTTGGGCTCCCATAACAGTTGCTTTTTTTAACTTCATCTGTGCTGAACTGAGTGTCAATATGCATGTCCTTAAGGTAAAGGGTCCAAGGGACTGCCTTTATTGAACTTCTACTTTGAAATTTCCTGACTTCTGTGCAATTAAAATCTACGCCTTAAGCATTTCAGCAATGTGGTTTATTTATAGAGTTGGCTTCCGGTTCACGTGTACTGGGTCTGCTTTTGGGTGTTGTGTTTTCTGGCAAAGGTTGTTTATTTCTAACCCATTTTGATTTCCTGTTGCTTTCTGGATTGGTATTATGACCTGCAACAGGAACACCAGGAAACCTGTCTTAAATGGAGTAGCCAGATTGAGACCCTGTAGATTAAAAAAAGCAAAAAAACACACATTATTATACAGCCATATTTGGATGGCTGTGTGGGTTAGAAATTGGCTATATTAGGCAAAAACCTAGATATAGAAATCTCTGTTAGAGCCAAACTTTTGTGCACAGTTTTGCTGAAATAGAACAGAGCTATTCGCTCCGTGCCCTTAAACAGTGTCTTTGAGCCTCAGTTTCTACATATGTAAAATGGAGATTATTATACTTTCTTTGTGGTATTAGTAAAAGGATTAAGTGAAATACTTGTGATAAGCAAACAACCCAGGCCAGACCTCAATTAATAGTAACTATTGATAATAATCAAAGAAGAGGAAATGCTATTCGTTTGTTGTTGTTTTTGTCCAGATCTATTTTTACTGACTTCACACACTGATTACTGGCATCTCTTGCTATTAAAAATTCCATCAGGAGAAGTTATTTGCCTTTGTGCTATTCATTTGCTCTTAAAAAAAATAATTATATTGATAGCTTTTATTTAGCAGGTGCTGTGTTCCTGGCACTGTGTTAGGTATTTTATATGTATTCACCATCTCATTTTAAGATCAGGGTATTTTTCTCATTTTGCAGATGAGGGAAGTTATAACCAGGAAAATGGAGTGAATTGCCCAAAGTTGAAATTTACATCCAGATCTGACTGACTCTGGGCTACCAATACCTCAGTAGTGACATGCAAGATTTCTTTATTATGTCTGATCTTGTCATGGAAGTCTTTGAAAGGAAAAGTGTCAAAGTAATCAGTAGATACCCTTTGGGGGCTCCAGCTGTCTGTTAGCCACTGGGCCAAGTGTTTTTTGTTGTTGTAGTTTTTTTTAAAATATATTTCTTTATTGATTTCAGAGAGGAAGGGAGAGGGAGAGAGAGATAGAATCATCAATGATGAGAGAGAAACATTGATTGGCTGCCTCCTGCACGCCCCCTACTGGGGATGGAGCCCACAACCCGGGCATGTGCCCTTGGCCGGAATCGAACCTGGGACCTTTCAGTTCATAGGCTGATGCTCTATCCTCTGAGCCAAACCGACCGGATCTGGGCCAAGTTTTTTATCCACATAACCTCATTTATTCTTCCTAATCCTAAGAAATAGCTATATCCCCATTTGATAGTTGAGGAAATCAAGGTTCAGTGATATTCAGGGACATTTAGTAAGTAATGGAGCTGGCAGTGGGTTCCAAGTCATTCTGGTTGCAAAACCCATGTTCTTATTCAGGCTGTTGTACTACATCGAAATTTTAGGATGAAATTTTGTTTTGTTTGAATGCAGTATGAGACTGATTTTCAAAGACAGTAGCTTTCAGGTATTTGAGGCTAATTGTTCTTAATTTCTAGATGAGTAATAGCCAGATTATTGGCAGAATCACATTTGTCAGTTTGCTAGGACCATGTTTTATCCCAGAGGTAGCTGTAGACTCTAGCATATTTCCATAGTCAAAGACCTCAGTCAGAAATATAATGTGTAACTTGTGTCAGCACAGAAAAGGGTGGCATTTTCCAGAGCTCTAATTCTATAATATGGCAGACCTCAAACCTCAACCATGCTTCAGACTCACATTAAAGTGCATTCTAATTGGTAATCAGTGCATAAGGAACCAAAGAAATTTTTAATTAAGTGCTGTCGTGTGAATTTTCCAGTCGTTTTATGCCTGTTGAAATTGTTTTCTTATTTAAAGTTTTTTTTTTTTTTTCCAATGCTCTGCCCTCCTTTTTTATAGTAGTGCCTTTTCTCCGATAAGGATTTAATTAGCATCACTTGCTGAACTCTGTGTTCCTTGTGTACTAAGAAGCATTTGGTGCAGTGGAATGAGCATGGGGATTTGGAGTCTTACAGATTGGGCCAGTTACTTCAATCTCTGTGAGCCTCACTTTCATTGTCCTGTAAAATGGGGCTAATCATAATTCCTTGGAGGCTGTTGGGAGGAGGATTAGAGATCATGTATTTAAGTTGCCTAACAAATAGCTCAGTTTATAGTTGTTTGGTAAATGATACTGATTATTTTCTGAAGTTATACTAGAGCCTGTTTTATTTAGATCTTCCTTTTGTCTTATTCTTTATAGATGTTCACACGGACTGCCTTCAGTCATGGCCTTGGGTTTAAGGTGCTTCCGCTTGGTCCATCCTGCCTTTTGCAGTTCTCTTGCAGCCTTGACCAGACCTGTTTCGGAAGTTATGCTGAAGACAGTGAGTGGAAGACAGTTTGACCACGGGCAATATGTGGCCTGTGCAGCTGTACCAACCCGTCATTTTGCTACCAAGAAAGCCAAAGGTAGAGACATCTGACCTCCTCACCCCTTTCTTATAGTTAGCCCTTGAATTATCATAGCTGGAAGGACATCAGAGATATACTGAATTTCTACACTTGCCACATGCGGAAATGGTTTCTCACATAATACAATTGATTAGCTTAAAAGGTCACAATGATAGAGAACCTAGGGTCTGTTTTCTCATTATCATGTTGCTCATATGTAACTATAGCTCAGAAATGCCTAATTTCTCTCTGAGTTTAGAATTCAAGGCATAATGCTTGAGGTAGGGATCAACCCATTTTTCTCCTTATAGTAAGATCTATGTTAGAAGTAAAATTAAAACCAGAAGGTTGTTGGGTAAAGGGTATTAGAGCTGTGGATTTAGATGGATGATCTTAATGGTTTGTGTCATCCAAGAATGAGACTTTGATATACCACAGATCTCAGCTTAAATGTCACTTCCTCAGGGAAGCCTTCCCTGACCTCTTAGACTGGGTCAGGTCCCTTGTTACGTGCACTCGTGCGCATTGTTATTTTGCCTTTGATGTACTTAGCACAGTACTCATTAGTTAGTTAATTCATTGTAGGTTCGGTTATTGTTTATTATATGTCTTCCATGCAGGACCCAATGAGGGGAGGGGCTGTATTTTTCTTGGTTAGCATCTAATAATAAGAGAGCCTGACATATAGTATGCTTCAAAAAATTTTGCTGAATAAATGAGTGACAGAAAATTGTCAAACAGACCTGCTATTTGAAGTGGTGAGTCAGGGAGAACACTCCCAAGGATGGTGCTAGAAATATGCTGCTAAATATTTTTTCCATTGACTTTCCTTATATGGTTTCATGCAGACCTTTCCTTTTCTGTAAATAGGAAAATTAACAAGTCATTGAAAGATTATTAATGCATAGAAGACTTATGTCCTCTTAATAGTGACAACAGTATTAACTTTTGATTTGTATGTTGTATTAAATTTTTTAAAAATTCACCTACATTTAACAATTTAATCCTTATAATTATCCAGTGAAGCACAGGTATCACTATTTTGCAAATGAGGAGATGTGAGGTACATAAATGAGATATGCACTATATAAAAGCACAGCATCTAGCTCATGGTAGATGTTCAGTAGTTTTTGTTGTAAATGAATTTCAATAAATGTTTATTGATAATTTAAGAAATAAATAACTGTAGGATATTACTTAAATATTTTTCTATTTTTCTCCTTCCCTCACTCTTCAAAAATATTTGTATTACTCACCATAGTGGTCAGAATGTATATGAAAAATTGCCATGATGGTTTAGACTAGTGGTCAGCAAACTCATTAGTCAACAAAGCCAAATATCCACAGACAACGATTGAAATTTCTTTTGAGAGCCAAATTTTTTAAACTACTTCTAATGCCACCTCTTCAAAATAGACTCGCCCAAGCCATGGTATTTTGTGGAAGAGCCACACTCAAGGGGCCAAAGAGCCGCATGTGGCTCGCGAGCTGCAGTTTGCTGACCATGGGCTTAGACAATGCTGTCAGTTTTCTAAAATATAAACCATTGTCACTACCGTTGGTGGTGGTAAATGTTTCTGAACTATTGTTCCGTTTGTACCAGCCATCAGATACTTTGCATATCCTTGTTTTAGTATTTATTTTATAATTAATTAATATATTTCTGTATCTCTGATTAGACTTTATAGAAGCAGCTTAGTGAAAAGTTCATGGGTTTAAAATTAGGAAGATCTGGAACTAAATCTTGGTTTTACTCTTTCATGACCTTATAATATTAGGTAAATCATTTTACCTTTCTCATCTGCTTATTTTTCTGAAAAACAAGGAATTAATTCACTTATGAAGTGTCTGCCATGCGGATAGTGCTCTTTTATGTAATTGAATTACTTAATTTATATCCATGTAGCATCCTAGCAATATAGATATTATCTCTGTCTTACAAATAAGGAATCTGATGCTCAGAAAAGAAGAGTAACATGTCCAAGGTCATAAGGCTAGTTTGCATTATAGCCAGGATTTTCACCTGGGGTATCACTGTATAAAGTCTGTGCCTTCGCTAGTATCTGAGAAAGTGCTTTTAGCATCATGCTGGGTCTCTAGTAAACACTCAGTAAATGTAGACATTTTTTAATAGGGCAGTGATAATGCTCTGTAATTTTCTAGCACTTGGAATTTTGCCCTGCACATAGTAGGCACTTCCTCACTGATTGTTTATTGTCTCTGTTTACTGTCTGCTGTTCTTTTATTCATTGAATGTTGACCTTTTAGCCAAAGGAAAAGGACAGTCCCAAACCAGAGTGAATCTTAACACTGCCTTGGTGGAGGATATAATCAACTTGGAAGAGGTGGAAGAAGAAATGAAGTCTGTGATGGAAGCACTCAAGGATAATTTCAATAAGACTGTCAATATAAGGACCTCACCAGGTTTGTGACTGAACCAGTATTTTGGAGAAGGGTGTGGGGGAAAGATCTTGGCTTTGGCAGAGCAGTGTTTTTGTTCCAGCTTTGACACTTACTAATTGGCGACCATGGACAGTTACTGTGCTTTTCTGGTCCTCCATTTCCTTGTCTAATTCCTACTTTATAGCTTTGGAGTGCATATTAAAATAAGTGAGGTGACATATGTAATGGTTCTGACAAGTGACTGGCACATAGTTAACATTTATTTATCTATTCCGCAAATATTGGTCTACTATGAACCAGGCATTGAACTGGTACACAGTGGTGAATAAAACAGGCATGCTCTTTGCTCTCATAGTACTCTTAAAAAAAATTGGGAGTTTTATGATGATGATAATAAACAACTATATAAGTTTGTAGATATTAATTCTCATAGTAGATGATGTCTTTGGTCTGACTTTTTCCAATTTGTCCTATTTGGCCATTCTTATCCCTTACTGGGAACCAACTGGCAGCAAACCTGCCCACCTGAGTCATTTCTGTACCCCTGTGTTTGACCAGGAAGATTACGTTTGGGTTAATAACTTCCTGAAAGTGGCTTTTCTAAGTGGGAAATGTCAGAACTGTCCAGGCGAACTGTTTGCAGATGTGATGGAAGAAGTGAGTTGTCAGCTAATGGTACAAGCAGGCAGGCAGGAAAAATCCAATTGCGGTTAAATTGGCCTTTTGGAAATTGTCATTATCCTAGAGTCAAGCCTGGGACCCCCTCTGAAGATATCTGTGGGAGCTAGGCTGGCGGTTCCCATTCACATCTTGGTTTGGATAGTTCATAAAGAAACTAAAGAATATTTTATGAGCTTGTTCTTAATAAAACCAAGTGAAAAATACACAGCTCCATTTATAAACACCAGCAGAAACATCCTGAGTTCAGCGACAAGATCCAGTGTGAAACCAGAAGACCATTCCATCATTTGTCAACCTTTAGACTGGGGCATTCTGCTTTTGCTGACAGTAGAGCGTGCCATTCAATCTCTCCCAACTGTTTATTTTAAACTTGCTTATTATTTTAGGTATGAAACTGATAAAGTGCTTTGTTTCCCCTGTGCTTTCTGGCCTGTTAACATTCTGCAGCCGAAACCAGAGAGTAGTTTGAGAGGAGCTCAGGGAGAAATGTGATACTTAAAATTAGCCAGCAAGCTCCCCTCTTGTTGAACTTAAAAAGATGATGGCCTGGAAGGAGGGTGGGAGTGTAATTTGTTAAAAGTTAACCTCTGAGAAAATGAGGGGCAGGAATGAGGCTAAGGGAGATTCTCGCTGGGGACAGATTGAGGAAAAAGGATTTGATACATTAAGTCGCTATGGATTTAGAGAATGGTCTAAATTCTCTATGTCGCATACTGGGAAAGCCCATGTTGGGACTTCAGTGGCAGAGGATCTTAGGCAAACCAGGAAGGCTGAATTAAGATTCATTTTCAAAAGGCCCCCCATTGGTATTTCTTCTTTGCTTCTTCCTTTTTAGGGTTATGTTTGTGTAACGTTCTACAGAACTTGGGGCCATGAAGAGACTGGATGAAACAGGCTGAATGAAGCCCATCTTTTTTTTTTTTTTTTTGCTAGATTCTTCTATATCATCTTTCATTACTATCTGAACCAGCAGGCACTTTTCTTCTTACACCTTCATCTGTCTACCAGCAGTTTCTATCTTCAAGGTAGTTGATTGTTTTTAATAGTTGTCTAAACTATGCCTAAACACTTTTATTCGTTTGTCCATTCTTGCTCTCTCTCTTTCATCCATGCATATATACATTTATTTATTCATCAAAGCATTACTGAGCTCTTGTTTTGTGCTGATTAATAGGTGCTGTCGATACAGAAAAGACATTCTCCCCACCTTCCCATAGCCCTAATTCGAAGGAACAGACTTAATCCAAAATGTGTAAAACTATAGTAAAGCAGAGTGAAGACCTTAGCTAGGAGTTGGTCAGTCCTGGGTTTGAATTCAAGCTCCATTATTAAGAGCTCTTGTTACCTGGAGCAAGTTACTCTCTGTGCCTTCATTTCCTCATCTGTAAAATGGTGGAACTATCTCAGGGTTTTTGTGATAATAAAAACAAATCAATTATAGACACTTTTAGCATAATTTCTTGCTCATAGTAAGCGTTCAGCAAATATTGGTTATCATTATCATAGATGCATAAGATGTTTGGGAACTCATGAAGGGGTTTTAATACAGTTTAGAAGGGGTTTGTAATATAGTTTAGTAAGTATTCAGCAAATATTGGCTATCATTATATAGATGCATAAGATGTTTGGGAACTCATGAAGGGGTTTGTATAATAATACAGTTTAGGAGGTCAGATAAGAAACTATTGGAGGTCACAGTTTAGGAGGTCTGAGATTAGAAACTATTAGAAGTCACAGTTCGATTCCTGGTCAGGGCACATGCCTGGGTTGTAGGCTCATTCCCCAGTGGGAGACAACCAATGAATGATTCTTTCTAATCATTTATGTTTCTCTCTCTCTCCCTCTCTCTTCCTCTCTGTAATAAATAAAAATATAAATATATTTAAAAGAAGCTATTATAACTTAGTGTTAAAGAATGATCAGGAGTTCTCTGAACAGACAAGGAAAAATATATTATGCTAAAAGTCTTGAGGCAAGAAAGAATAGACTTTATTAGAGAAATTATAAATAGATTAGTTTGGGTAAAATAAAGGAAAGTCAAGAAGTAATAATAATAATTATCATCTATTGGACACAGTTATAAATGCTTTCTGTAAACACTTTCATTTAATCCTCAAGCAACCCTCTAAGTACAATTTTATGCCCCATTTAGAGATCAGGACACAGACACAGAAAAGGTTGAAGGAGCTTACCAAAGTCACACGATCATGAGGTGACAGAGTTAGTATTTGAACCCAGGACATTTGTCTTTAGAATGAAGGAAACTTTTGCTATTATTCCTCTTGAGCTTTTCTGGATTAAAGCCAATGGTATCAACCACTTTCTCTTTGTGATGATATTGAATCTGGTTGAGTACTTCTACTTAGATCTTTGGGCCATATTGTGGTACTACATTATTTTAACAATTCTCCATTTGTTTAAAAGACCCCTTCCCTACCACCCCTTTCTCATGAGTGTTTCTTACTGTTAATACTATGATTCCCCTCCCCCCCACCCTTTCCCTCTAGTTCTCATTTGAATAGGAAACTAGGGATTTTAAATAATGCCCCTTTTCTATCTGTAACTATGGCTTTATTTGCTTGCCTTATTGGATTTCTGAAAATTTTGCCCAGGGTTTTCTAGAATTCAGAGGTGGAAGAAGATCAGACCCAGGGTAACAGTTAAGTGTTAATAGTTGGTGTGTATATATATATATATTTTTTTTTTTTCTAAAGAGGATCTAAGTACCAAATCAAGGTGGGTGGTATAAGGAAAGAGTTTCAAACATGGCTGCATGTCAGAATCATGTGGTGATCTTAAAAAAATTATAGGCTCCCCCTAAATCACAGGCTCCTAAACTCTTATAGAATTGGGATCTCTGGGGTGGGGCCAAGGAATCTAAATGAAAAAGCTCCCTGGAGATTCTGACACACAGCCAAATTTGAGTTCCTAGGTAAAAGGGGAAGAACCTTGACTGGAATCAGAATTTAGCAATCCTGAGTTTGAGGCTTGGCTTTTCTTTTAAGGTGTTGCTGTTGTTGTTGTGTTGACATTATTAAAGACATCCCTTATCTCCCCTCTTCCCTTCCACCTAGCCCCACCCTACTCCACCCCAAGCCTTCAGAAGCTTGGCTCTTGAGACTTTGTCCCAAGTCTCATTTTCTCTCTGTAAAGTGGATTGTAATAAAGTGCTACAGAGTAGTTATAAGAACTAAGGGTTAATAAGAGATATCCTTTTTATGTGCTTATTTTTTTTTTTTTTTTTTGGTGCTTACACACTTGATTGTTTATATTTAGCTATAAATCTCACTTAATCCTGTAAGGTGGTCATTGTTTTAGTGAGTTGGACACCAAGATATAGAGAAGATAAGTAACTTGCCTGAGGTTTCATGGTCAGTAAATGGCAAAGTTGCTGGAGAGGTGACCAACTCTTTCCAGTTTTAGTTCTGAAAGTTCTGTCACAGGAAACCTGTTAGGCCCAGGCACACGAGGATGGTTGACCACCCGGATTGCTGATAGGAATTCCAGCCTTGTTTTCTCAATATGTCGAAGCTCTTCCCATCGCGAGTCACTGCTGTCCCTGTGACAGCCCCTGGAATGTCTTGCCACATTGATAAGGGACCCAAACTATTAGTTGAATCTGAAGGAGATAGGGACGTGTGGGGCTTCTAAGGTCCTTCTGAATTCTAAGACTCTATAATTTTTTAATTTTTTTTTAGGATCCCTTGATCATATCACTGTGGTAACTGCTGATGGGAAGCTTGCTTTAAACCAGATTGGCCAGATCTCCATGAAGTCGCCACAGCTGATCTTGGTGAATATGGCCAGCTTCCCAGAGGTAAGGTGGCCTTCCTCACAAGGTCCTTATTCATCCTGTCTTTTGGAATGGAGGGGGCTGGGTCAAGGCAGCAGGAGGTATTCCCTCCAGCTTGGGATGAAACAAGAGAGAAGGCATAATGGAGGAAACTTAGGGAGAAGGAAAAGTTCTTTCCTGTTTCTAAATTCCTTTTCTGGTAAACACTGTAGAAGCCAAGTAAGTAATTTGACTACTGCAACAGGCCCCATCTATGAAAAACAATAGTGGCGATGTAGGGGTAGGCGCTTGGCCAACATGGAGGGGACTGTGGTAAACCGGGGAGCCTGTGCCCTGTGTGGAGCGAGCAGAAATGTAGGCCCGGCAGTCAGCATTACCAGGTATTATGATTTTTATTTCCAGAAGAAGCCAATAATCCAAATTTTTATATACGATTCTCGTTAAATATTGATAACTGATTCATTTTTTTTAAGATTGTGAGGAAAAGACCACATTAACGAGCCACTAGTTTGAGACCTCTGCATTAGTGTTTGGAGCAGATCCTCTAGGAGGTCACATTTCTTTCCCACTGGACTGACCATTGCAGAATATTGCACAGAGCACAGTGCTTCGCAGCCTGGAAGGTGGGCTGCATTACTGTTGGCACCTTGGGGCTGTGATAGTAAGTCTAGTTGAGGTAGAGAAGGGGCTTCTTAGTGGTCCAGTGGGAATGGACCTGGATTTGAAGTTCTGGAGGACCTGGAACTCAGGCCCATCTCCATTGCTAGCTGGTTGTTTGACCTAGCTCCACTCTCTGGGCTTCCATTTCCTCATTTGTTGTTAATGTGAGGTGAAGGAATCTGAAGTCCCTTCCTGTTCCAATGGTCTGTTTCAGTGTGTCTGCCCCAAAGACATAGACCAAAGGTGAGCACGCTAGATTTGGCAGACTGGATTAGAGGTATAGAGTAAGAAAAAAGCACTTGCTGTGAACACGTTCAGATCATGGTGTTTTTTTTTTTAATATCCTCCCCCCCCCCCCCCCGCCGCCCCGTTCCCTTCTCCATACTGCAGCCAGAGTGAACTTTTTAAAATATACATTGGATTATGTTGTTCCCATGCTTTAAATGTATTAATGTCCCATGCTTTAAATGTGTTAATTGAACAAGTAGTATTTTTTTTAAATAACTTTATTGACTACGGTATCACATATTTGTCCTCATCCCCCCATTCAAGTAGTATTAAAGAAAAAGATTACTGTGGCTTCGAATGCTTTGTATGATGTGCCCCTACCTATGCCTCCCAGTGTCTCCAGTCTTGTGCCACTGTCATCCTTCCACACTGCTCTAGCTATTGATACATTGGTCTTTCAGCTCCTTAGACACAACACACCCTTTGCATCCTCAGGGCTTTACAAGGGCTCTGCCCTTTGCTTGGACCATTATTGCCTGGCTAATTGCTCTATCTCTGTATCTATCTGTCTATCTATCTATATTGCTATATATATATATATATTCATTTATTTTTATATATTGGGATGACATTGGTTGGGTCACAGCTTAAATGTCACTTTCTCAGGGAAACCTTCCCTAATCTACCCAATCTAAACCCCTCCTCCACACTAAGCTCTCTTATAGAGCACGGTTCTTTTTCTTTATTGCACTTATCATTATTAATAATTATATATTTATATCTTTATTTTCCATCTCATATTCACTAGATTGTAAGCTTGGAATGCAAAAAATCTATCTAACTTACTCATTGTGTTGGGCACATACATGGAAGCACTCGGTAAATTTTCCACAAATGGATGAATACTTGTTATTAGGTTGATGGAAGGGAGGTTCTCATTCCTTGTGTTACCGAGGAGCTAGAAGTGGACTAAAAGGGAACAGTCAACTCTTTGCCTTCGTGGCCCCCTCTGAACTGCGAGGCCTCTCCGCCTGGTTCACCTACTCCCATTGGCACTGCAGGCCAATTCAGGGAACAGCCTCCTAATTACACAGCTTGAAGACCTCATCAGGCAGATTGCTTTTCAGAGCCAGCCACTTCTGTTATTAAATGGCAAATGGCATTCACAGAAGAAGCGTGATTGGCCACCAGCGCATCTTATGAGGTAGGAGGAGGTATTAACAGCTTAATTTTTTTCTTAGGAAGTTGGAGCATATCTTCATTTTTCAACCAAAGCATCTCTGCCTTCCAAGTTGAAATTCTGTGGGTTTTAAAGGAGAAAAAAACAAAACAAAAACCCACAAAAAAACTTTTACAAGCATCTCAGTCCAGAGGTTCTTTACAAGGACAGAATGAGGAAGTGTGAGTTACATTGTCTTTTGAATCCCTTTATCTCATCTGGTGTATATATTAAACAAATAGTCTTAACTAAACATTTCCTTCCTTCACTTTAGAAGCTGTCCATTGAGTACCAGGTTCATAGCTTCAAAATGCTGAGCTAATCCTCTCTGTGTTTATGTAATTCCTTTCTGTTTCACATGCGGTTGGCTTTCTTTCCAAACCTGCGCTTTTCTGTGTCGTGCTGTAGTGACACGATGCAGATTTACATGCATAATCCTTTCAAATGCATTGGAGACAGAAAACTGTGTTGCATTTGTTTAACATGTGTCCTGCTTGATAAATGATACACATAGTTGCTGCTTTCCATAAACTTGCCTGCAGCTAGAGTTAATGATGGGAAAGAAAAGAAGGGAGTAAAAAAACCACTGCATGATTTGAAGAAAGCAAATGAAAAAAAAAAAAAAATCTGTAGGCTCCATTATTTCCCTTGTGGTAGGAAGAAAGCCAATGTATATTGAGTGTCTATGGTGTTGCCGGGCACTACTTTCTCATGTTTTGTTTTTACGTGATCATGTTTTGTTTTTAGGTATTCTCTAAAATTAAGCATTATTTGTTCCATTTTATAGATGAGAAAACAGGCTCAGAGAGGTACAATATCTCCCTGAGGTTCACACCATTGTGACAGAACCAAGATTTGAATATAGATCTGTTTTTCACTAAAGCCTGTGCTCCTTGAACTAGTCATTCATTAATTCAACAAATACTTTTTTGAGTTCCTGTAAGTTATTAAGTTTTAGTTGAGGTGCTGGAAATAACCCCCTGATGATAAAAATAGACAGGGTTCCTGCTTTCATAGACCTTACATTCTAGGTACTCCTTGGGATATAAAGGAAATGGAAGGCCAGTCCCTGAAATGGCACTAACAAAGTTGACTTGTTGATCTGTCCAAAAAAGTTCTATCGTCTTGTCCTTTAGCATAGATGAACTTAAGAATGGCAATAGCAGTCATTGCTAATTGATGACAGCACTCCTTCCTGCCTGGCCCCAGATGAGATCTGTAATCTTTACAGAGTTCTCCAAGCAGCCACAGTCATTTGATCAGTGTTGCCATTTGAGAACTGTCTATTTGCCTTGGGGTACTGGTGAGCATCCCTTCAGGGCGGGGACAAAAGATACAAGATGGAAATGCGATAGAAATATATGCCTTTTCATCTGAGCCCTGAGTAGTTCAGAAGTCATGTTGGGAAAATGACTGTAATTCCCTGAGTTTCTGCATCCTACCACATCAAACCAAAATATACATATTTAGAATGTTTTAGAACTACCTCTTCTAGTAGGTTTCTTTTCAAAATGAAACCTGATTTGCATTTTTCTGCATATGAAAGAACACAGAACAAGTAAAGTACAAAATAGGGATTTGGAGGGGTTATATATAAGAAGTAAAAGTAAGGAGATGAGTTTGTCTAACAGATCTGAGTCCGATTACTAGTATACTCCTGCAACAAACTTTTATTGAGCACTTGCCATGTGCCTGGCACTGAGCCTTGTACTGGGAAGATGTAGATATTGAGACATAGTGATTGGCCAGCTGGGTATCAGCTGTAGGTGTTCTGGTGCCCACAGGGGAAGGTTGTGTGGAAACACTGGGGTCCTACTGTGAAAGGGAGGGTCTGGTGGCAGGACATTACCACAGTGAGTTGTCAGTCATTCAGTGAGAAGCATCAGAAAAGGAGGATTGGGAGACTTGAGATCAGGCTATCTCTTCAAAGTGAAGATTCTCCCTTTATTGTTAACTGTAGAAAATCTGTTTCATTTTATTAAGAAAATGGCTATTCTTTTGCAGAGAGATATTTATTTCTTTATCTAGCTCATTTAAAACACCAGACTTAATTCCAAATTATTTTGGGCTATTTAAAAAAAAATCAAATCCCCTGTGCTACTAAATACTTGAGCTAGGTGATCTGGAAGAAAATATGGACAGAATGGCATCACTGGACTGAGAGTTGAGGAACCTACTGTCTCCTCTTACCTCTGCCAGTTTGTGGAAGTGTGATGGGTAAGGTCCTCACTGTACAGCCCTCGGCTCTCTGGAAGACTGTATGTGCTTAGGGACGTGACTTTATCCAACAGGTCCTATATACAAGAGGAAGGGACTTGACTTGGCTGTCACAGATCCCTCCCAGCTCCAATAGTCACAGGTACCATTTTAAGAATTTACTGTTTTAGCCCAGTCAGCATGGCTCAGTGGATGAGAATTGACCTATGAACCAGAAGGCCACAGTTCAATTCCTGGTCAGGGCACATGCCTGGTGGCAGACTTGATCCTATTGGGGGCATGCAGGAGGCAGCCAAATCAGTGATTCTTTCACATCATGGATGTTTCTGTCTTTCCCTTTCTTTATTGTTGTTTCAATAAAAAATATATTCTTTAAAAAAGAGAATTTACTGTTTTAAGCAGTAGCCACACTATTAGATTCTGTGTACAGCCTCCCAAGGAAATGATTCACCTGATGTGAAAGTTCTGGTTTATCTTTTGACTTTATGGTTACCTCTCATGTCTCTGAAGAATTTAAGCCATTTAAAAATGAAATAGGTAAGTTTTTCAGACCCTCCCTCAAAAACCAAAGCAAACCCTGAAAATATCAAATAGGTGTGACACAAACCCCGTTCTTTGAACCAGAAGTCGAGGAAGGAACTCCAGATTGAGAATTGGTCCTGGGAATCCAAGTGATGTGGATTGGCTCTGGTCAAACCTAAAATTCTTTGGAAAATGTCAGAGGCCTCATTTTCACGAATTTCACACCGTCATGCCTATAAAGCATCTCTCTTCCACACTGCTGTCTTTTACCTTTTAGGATTGCATGCCAGGTGTGGTTATATTATTGCTTGAGATGAGGTGAGGTGAGGTGAGGTGAGGAGCTTTGGGAAATCAGTACCAGTGCGCCACCTGGCCCGTTAGCAGGAAGTCGGAGAAGACCCTGGAGGGTGACAGGGAGGGTGACAGGCAGGACAGCCGTGCATCGGCTAAGTGATGACATCCACTCAGCCTTGTTTGGGGGTCTTGTGCATCCCTACCTTTATATGTTAAATGTATGTAATGACTCCCTAGGCGTTACTGCGGCCAGATACCGAGCAAGATGCATTGCTCATGCTACCTCATTTAGTCCTCTCTCGGGGGTACACACCACGTGGTCTCAGGTTACAGAATGGAGGCCCTGAGAGGTCAGGCTTGTTGCCCAGGGTCACATAGTAAGCAGAGCTGGGATTTGAACTGAGCTCTTTCTCACTCCAAAGCCCATGCTTGTAGCCAGTATACCATTCTCTCTTTCCTGGAGCACACACCCACTGGGAGCCATTGCTCATTCCAAAGCATGAGTGAGGTTGCTGCGTGTGTAGATACGAACGAGTTAAATTTATTTACTCATTCCAAGTCAGCACGGGTATATTTTGAGTGTAAAATGTCAACTGGAATTTTTAATGTATAAAATCTTTCATCTGTCTTTACACCAATCTTTGTACAGACCAGCCCCCCTCCCTTGAGGATTTATTGTGGTTTTGATCTGTCTTGCCTCAAACCATTGAAATCTTTTCAAAGCAGCAGAGCTGTTTTCTTTTTATTTTTTCCTTCTCTTTGCTTTTTTTCCTCCCGCAGTACACTGGTACCAGGAGTGGACATAGTTTGCTATTCTGCTTGATCAAAGCACTCTACACCAATGTAACTTCCTGATCTTACTGGTAACAGAACTAAATGTTTCCATGTTCTGCCAAGATGGGTTGCCAGTTATCGACAGAGGGCTTGCATCTGGTAATAATTATTTACTAATTCTGTTTACCTTTTGATCTGGTTTTCAGTGTACAGCTGCAGCTATCAAGGCTATAAGAGAAAGTGGAATGAATCTGAACCCAGAAGTGGAAGGGACGCTAATTCGGGTACCCATTCCCAAGTAAGTTTGGCAGAAATTTACATATTTTGATGTTGGTTTCCTTGGGGAAACCAACACCCATGATACTGTTAGGCTGATAGCATAACAGTACTTCTTTACCTGAACTTCTCCTCCTGGCAAATTCCCACATCTTTTAAGGTCCAGCTTTACTGATTCAGAAACATTGATTGAGTACCTGCTGTGTACGAGGGCTGGAGATGCAGCAGTCAACCTGATAAAGTCTTTGACCTCATGTACTTTATTACACTCTGGTGGGGAAGATGGGACACTTAAGCAGATAAAGGCATTCCAGACAACAAGATGCTATGAGGAAAGAAAAGGCAGTGAGACCGAGCAGGGAGTGACTTGCTGCAGGCGATGGTGGCAGGGACAGTTTTGGCCTGGGAGGCCTATTTAAGGAAATACCATTTGCTGAGAGCTGAATGACGAGGAAGAGTCAGCCTGGGGAGTGGGAACTGCCTGCACAAAAGCCCTCGTCAGAAAAGACCTCCATACTTGTACTCTCAAATCCATGTTCCTTGAAGAGTTATTTTTACCTTAGTCCTTGCCTGCTGAAGAATTTTAGGCACAAGAACAGGATATTGTTAATTATATAACATATAGAACTTAGATTATTAAATGAAAAAAATGTACAGCAGTCCCCCTTATCTGTGGTTTTGCTTTCAGCAGTTTTTACCTGTGTTTAGCTGTAGCCCAAAAATATTACATGGAAAATACCAGAAATAAAGAATTCATAAGTTTAAAATTGTGTGCCATTCTGAGTGGTGTGATGAAATCGTAAGCCGTCCTGCTCCATCACTTTGGATATGAATCATTCCTTTGCCCAGCATATCAACGCTGTGTATGCTAACCCCCCATTGGTTACTAAGTGGCTGTCTGGGTTATCAGATCAACCACTTGTGGTATTGAAGTCTTGTGTTCAAGTCATCTTTATTTCACTTAATAATGGTCCCAAAGTGCAAGAGTGAAGATGCTGGCAGTTTGGACATGCCAAAGAGAAGCTGTAACATTCTCAAGGAGAACCGTGGGGAGGCAGCTGCTGTAGTTCGGGTGAGATATGGATTTTCCGCCTGCTCAGATTCCGTAGCAGGCAGAATTAGTTTCTCCTCCGTAATCTCATTTCTTAACTAACTTCTTCTTCTTTTTTTTTTTTTTTTTTTAAGTCCTTACCTGAGGAGTGAAGATATATTTTCCATTAATCCTAGAGAGAATGGAAGGAAGGGGCGGGGGGGGGGGGGGGGGGAGAGAGAGAGAAACATCAATGTGACAGAGACACATTTATTGGTTGCCTCTCATCAGCAATCCAGAATGAGTGGGGAGGGGGCAGGATTGGACCTGCAACTCAGAAATCCAACCTATAACCATCCAGGGCACAGGCCGGCACTCTAACCATTGAACACACTGGCCAGGCATAATTTCTTAATTATCTTTAAGTCCCTATTTCTACACAGTGCATTAAATTAATTCATTTCATTATTCAGCAAATATTTATTAAGCACAAACTACATGCCAGGTACTTTCCTAGCTGTCGAGATAAAGCAGAAAAGAAAACAAACAATAAAAAGCCTCTGTCCTTATAGGTGAGTAGGCATAGTAAACAGAAAACAAAGAAATACATACGGTAATATCAAGTGATGGTAAGGACTGTGAAGAAAAGCAAGCAGGATGAGTTAGAGGGAGTTGGGGTTTTATTGTGGATCGGGAGGTGCAGGAAGGAAGTGGCAATTGAGTGGAGACCTAAGTGAAATGAATGAATGAAGCTTTCAAATAACTAGACGGGTAAAGGAGTGTAACACTAGTTGAATGTCTGTCTTTGCCACGTATTACCCTGTATTCTTTTACACATGTTGCCTCATTATCATACCATCCCCTCCAGGTAGGTTTTTTCTCCCAGGTTTGGAAAGTGAAGCTCAGAGAGGTAAAGTAACATTCCCTCCAAGTTCACACTGCTAATGATGTAGCTGGGACCTAAACTGGGTTTAGTTAGTTCCAAAGCCTCAAGATGCACCCAGGTTAGCAACAAGAATTAATCCCCAAACTGAGAGTCCAGGAACATTTTCCTACTTTATGACCAGAAAATGGCAATCTTATTTCATTGTGTTCTCGGTACTCTGTGAGAATTAACACTCTGCCTAGAAATCAAATGAATTGGAAGCGATATAGCTTAGTACTTAAGTATCAGGTAGACCTGGGTTCAAGTCCAGGACCCTATTTGCTTGGTTAATTCATTGATTTGCTCAGCCGATTTTCTGCTAATGTGTCATGTGCCAGGCTTGGTGTTGAATGCTGGGAACCTAATGTTTGCCTTCATGGAGCTCACAGACTATGCTGGGCCCTTTGTTTATTTTGCCTGCAGCTTACTTGTGGAGTGTACTATTACCCACCGTTTTTAAAAATATATTTTATTGATTTTGTACAGAGAGGAAGGGAGAGAGATAGAGAGTTAGAAACATTGATGAGAGAGAGTCATCAATCAGCTGCCTCTTGCACATCCCCTACCGGAGATATGCCCGCAACCAAGGTACATACCCTTGACTGGAATCGAACCCGGGACCTTTCAGTCCCCAAGCCGACGCTCTATCCATTGAGCCAAACCGGTTTCGGCTACCCACCGTTTTTAGATGAAAACACTTAAATTAAGGGAAAGGGACTTGCCCAAGATCACATGGTCAGTAAGTGGCAGTCAGGATTTGAACCCCAAGTTTTTCTGTTATCAGCGTGCCGGCTAAGTATACTCATGGACATTAGAAGTGAGATTTGCAAGTGGAATGTTAGTAGTCAGCAGGTTTATTTTTTAGTTCTTGCTCTCCTGTCTGAGAAATCTTTGAAGAGTCACTTAACTTTCCTGAGCCTCAGTTTGCTGCTCTCAGGGCTCTGCCAGACCCCTCTCGGAGCTCCAAAATTCTGCCAGGCTAGGAACTCATGCTGCCGAATACTCATCGCTGGCTTTCAGTTCCCCTTTGAGTGGCCTGATTGTGTATCACGTTTTCTTTTCAAAGATCTAGTTCACATAACGCGCACCTCTGCAGCCCCACAGGACTTAACAGGACTTAGCGATCACTCTTGGTGCAGTGTGTATTAGTTTGAAGGATCAGTGAGTTTAACTTGAATTTCCAAAGACATGGGGCTCTGTTACATTATATTTTACATTATTTTATGTTAACTAATGGGCGTAATCCAAGAGAAAGTTGACGGACCAAAACCGTCTGCTCCTGCAAACCTCATTTTTTATATACTTTCTTCCCTTTGACAAGGTGGTAAGGTCATGAGGCCCCTTACTGAATTGTACGCTTGGTAGTTTTCCAGATAAAAAATGAATGATCTGTTCTTTATTATGGAGGCTGCGTCATATGAGAGAATAAAGGTTGATTTAGATGAAAAAAGGACCAAGGTTTATATTTGGTTTTGGCAGTGACTTCCATTTGATTCTGGGCATGTCACCCTAGCAGCTTGCTGCTTTCGAGTGCCTTATTTGTAAAATAAGTAAAGTAATAATGATAAGTAGAGATTTGGTAGGATTAGTAGAGAAAATAGATTAAGTAGTATGATCTCCTTAGAGGAAAGAAGCTATATAAATATAATTTTATTATTTTAGTATACTTTGAATTTTAGATACATACACACACAGGGTAGAGCAAAAGTAGGTTTACAGTTGTGAGTACACAGAACAAAGTTTATTTTTATATTATTATTTTTATATTATTATATTATTAATATTTATATTATTATTTATTTTATATTTATTATTGTATTATTTTCCATAGGAAAAACTGTAAACTACTTTTCCCCTATCCTGTATATACTCACACTTTAGGAGGAAAGGAAGGAGTGAGGAAGGGAACTAATATGTTGAGTACTTACTATGTGTTAAGGACCATGCTTCCATGTACAGGGAAAGTGGAAGAGTACAGTTAAATTTGTGTTGGTATCACAGAAGCATGAAATTGAGTTCTGGCTTGCCTTTTTATCTGTGTGATAATGGCAACATCTCCACCTCTCTGAATCTCAGAGAATTCATCTGCAAAATACTTATAGGTCTTGCCTTACATGGTTATTGGGAGATTTCAGTGAGATGATGTGTTGTTATTTGAGATAATGATTTTAATGTGTAGCAAGCACCCAGTTAATGGTAGCAAATGTTCTTTCATTCCCTTTCATATATAAGCAGGATTCATTCCCGTTTAAGGAAGAGGAAACTTAAGATTCAGAGAGGTGAGGCATTGACTGGGTCACAGAGCTGGAAGCTGGCAAAGCTATTTGGAGGAAACGAACACACCAAAGCTGATGTCAGGGGTTCGGGAGGTGGAAGGGAATCTGAAGCATAACTTCCTAGGATCAGTTTCTGATTATAACATGTTGAGTTTAGATCTAGGAAAATTTGCCTTTCCTGCTTGATCATGATTCTTCCTCTGCCTAATGACAGCTTGCAAGTTTGTTTTTTTGCCTTAATTCTGGATGCCCAACGCTAAGTTTTATTTTTAGTTGCAGCAGATCTCAGTTAGTGCTTCACCCTCATTACACTCCTTCAGTTCTTATCGTCTCATTTAAAATTAGTTGACTGAGTAAGTGACTCTCACTGTAATCTGCCTCTGATCCTTTGGGGAAGTATATGGAAGATAATCCTAAATCAATAAGAGGTCAGATTTGGCTCAAAATGGCCCTTGTCACTCAGTCCTCTTCACAGCCCTGGGAGTGCAGTTCTGTGTGGCTGCGCGGGTTTTTCTCCCGGCTCTCAGCCAAAGACCAGCGAGCCTCAAGCTCAGGTCATGTCCGTACCCACTGACCACGTGTATCGCTTTTGTTTTCTTCCCTGGCCAGTGTTCTTTCACTTAGAGAAGTCAGTCAACTGGATAGGTCACTTGTACATCCCCTTTAGCCAAGATTCACTGAAATCCATGTAATCAAATTTGGGTGCTATTTATTAGCCAGCTACACTACAGCTGTAGTGCTTGGAGGTGCTGTGCTGAGAGCTTTACAGTTTCTCCCCAAATTCTCACAGC